GGGCGGGGGAGGGTGGCTGGGAGTCCTGGCCCCCGCCTCGTCCCGCCCCACCCGGCTTTTGCGCGTGACCACAGGGCTCCCAAAGCCAATTGCGCTTCGCCTCCCAGTTGCTCCCCTGCCCCTGCCAGGCTTCCGTCCGGCACCCAGATGGGAATTCACAAAATACCAGACATTGCACATGTCCGGTATTTTCTGAATTTTTCTACAGACGGTGCAAATACTGGACTGTCCAGTAGAAAACTGGACACCTGGGAACCCTACTTTTCACCCTTCTACACATGTCCTCAGCCTTCTTTAGAGTGATCCCCACAAAACCCTTCTCCTCCCAGAAATCTGGAGAGAAAAAATGAGAAAAATTCTTGACAAAATGAGGCCTCAGAGTAAACTCCTGAGAATCTCTGCTTTTGAGCACAGAGGCAGCAGGAACATTCTTGCAGCTCTTCACCTGCCATTTCTGTAGAACGTTCTCTCAAACGATTGTGCAGGGAGTAAAAGTGGGACCTGTTGCCAGCATGAGAAATTGGAAAATGTGGGAAAATGCATTAGTGCTGTGCCTGCTGATGTAGTAGTTTCCCTGGGAGAAAGAATGTGCATTAACATTACATTGTTTCTCACTCCAGATGAGTATGTGACAAACTAATGAATATTAAAAACTATAAAGCATGCCCTCTACTAGGTATCTAGCTTAGGAGAAGGTGTTTCATGGATATAAGGCAAAAGAAAGGGACAATCCACGTTTATGGGGAAAAAAATCACAAGAAAACAATAGTGTTATCTATGACATCTTGCAAAGGTAAATACATGAATCCCAGACCTACCTTATATACTGGGCTGTATAAGTAATATTTTCTTTGTGAAAAGTAGGCGGATCCCATTGTAGAATGTGATTCAAATTAACTGAATTAATTCTTACATTTTTTGGTTCTGGCACTATTCCAAATGCTGAAAAACAAACAAACCAGTATAGTAAGTATTCTTCCAATGACTGAAGTATAAAAAATAACCCTTTTTGAAAACTGGAAAAGAAACTAAAAGTATTGCTGGAATATACTTATACTGTACTGTTAATTAGAAGATTCCAAGAGTATTGGGTTATTAAAATAATTTTGATTCCTTACAGACAAGTCAGAAATTATACCAGCCAAGCCAGCTACAAAGCACAGCTCTTACTGCTGTGCTTCAATTGTTCTTTTAGCTGTGCTTCAGTTGTCTGTCTATATATTAAAGGAAAAACTTAAAAAACAACAAATAGTCTAGTAGCACCTTAAAGACTAACAAAACATGTAGATGTTATCATGAGCTTTTGTGGGCGCAACCCATCTGAAGAAGTGGGTTGCATCCATAAAAGCTCGTGATACCGTTTATAGTAAACTTCAGATAATCTGGCACCTTTAGGACCCAGGGGTGCCGGATTATCAAATATGCCGGACTATCGGAAGGGGGGCTATGAAGGGGCTGGGGTGGGGGGATGCCACCCCATAACCCCCCCCTTCTGATAGTCCGGCTCTGCCCCAGGCATCCCCGATTCAGCCGCTGCTGAAACTGACCAGCAGCGGCTGAATCGGGGATGCCTGCGGCAGAGCAGCTGGGGTGCTGCTGGGTTGGTCCTGTAGCGCCGCTGCTCTGCCCCAGGTGTCCCCAAGAGCAGCTCTGTCCTGGGCTTCCTGGAGTCAGCCGCTGATCAGTTTCAGCAGCGGCTGGATTGGGGACGCCTGGGGCAAAGCAGCTGGGGTGCTGCTGGGTTGGTCCTGTAGCGCCGCTGCTCTGCCCCAGGTGTCCCCAAGAGCAGCTCTGTCCTGGGCTTCCTGGAGTCAGCCGCTGATCAGTTTCAGCAGCGGCTGGATTGGGGACGCCTGGGGCAAAGCAGCTGGGGTGCTGCTGGGTTGGTCCTGTAGCGCCGCTGCTCTGCCCCAGGTGTCCCCAAGAGCAGCTAGGTTGCTGCCTGGTTGCCTGCAGCCCTGAAGGGCAGCGCTACGGGACCAACCCAGCAGCACCCCATCTACTCTGTCCCCTGCTTCTCTGATTCAGCTGCTGGTCAGTTACAGCAGCGGCTGAAGCTGGACACCAGTTCCGACTTACATACAGATTCAACTTAAGAACAAACCTACAGTCCCTATCTAATACGTAACCCGGGGACTGCCTGTACCTACAGTTTTTAGACACACAATTTGTTTCTACCATTGCAACACATTTATTTAAACAACTTAATCGTAGCTGGGTGGAGGATAACATTTTTGGGCATAAAAACTACAAAAATAATAAAACGTTGTAAAACTTAAAACAAAAATTCAGTTTTCTTAAAATTTCAATTGTTTTGATGTACCCCCCAGACTTCTCTTGAGTACCCCTGAGGGTACTCAAACCACTGGTTGAGACACTCTCCTCTCCCCTGTGCTCAGAGGCTGGGGGAGAGAGGGCCATTCCTGTCCATGTGAGGCTTTGGCCTGACCCAACTGCCCAGTGATTGGGGGTGAGAAGGCCAGGCCTGGCCAGAGGGGGGAATAGGTTTGGAGGGGAGAAGGGGGCTTGGGCTGGTGGGGGAGAAGGGATTCTGGCTGATGGGGTGGGGGGGAGGAGAGAGAAGGTGCAACAGGGGAAGGGAGAAGGGGGGCCTGGGCTTGCAGAAGGGAGGGGAGAGAGAAGGTACCCGGGCTCGCAGGAGGGTAGAGGAAAGGGAGAAGGGATCTGGGTTGTCCAGGGGGGAGGAAGAAGAAAGGGGACCCGGGCTGGCGTGCCTGGCCTTCCCTGGTGGCTGGCGGAAGAGCAGGGGGTTGCCTACCCCCTGTGAGAGGGGGGTTGGCGAGCGCAGCCAGCAGGGAGCACAGCTCCCTAGTTTCTTTAGAATTCTTTTTTTGTTATTGTTAATTTCTAAATTTATTAGCCACTGCAAACTAAAAACAGAAAACATCACGTTTCATGTTACATCTGAATGACATAATGAACTACTTTGATAGATCCAATTTCATTTTAAGCCACAGGAGAGAAATCAAATAATGTTCATTCTCTTTAAGAAAAAAGACTAAATAGTAGTTTTATGTGAGTATTTGTTATGTAAAAGATGCATGAAACTAATATGTGAAAAGTACTCTCCATGCACCTGCACAAGACAGAGAATAAATCTGAAAACAGGAACTCCACTTCAAATATAGAGTTTACTTTCTCAATTATGACCTCTTTCTGAACCCATAAAATTTCAGTGAGATCTACTAAATTAGAAGAAAACATCAGTCACTTGTGTACATAAATTGGACCTAGAATTTTTGATTTAAAGACATTCTGGCATTTCACTTTCCATCATGCCAAATGAACTTGGGTGAAATCCTGGCCTAATTAAAGTAAATGGAGAAGTCCCAGCAACCTCAATGGAAACCAGATTTCATCTGTGATCATCAAGATTCTTCCGGATCTACTACATGCTGAAGATATGTTTACACTACGGAGACTATACTGGCAATGATATACTAGTATAGATCCATATTGCAGATGCAGTCTACACCAACAGAAGTTCTTCAGTTAGTGTAGGAACACCACTTCTTAGAAGACACTAGGGCTACGTCTACACTGCAGGCTTCTTGCGCAAGAACAGCCATTCTTGTGCAAAAACTTGTGGAGCGTCTACATTGAACGCGTGTTCTTGCGCATGTAAATTTACAGTAAGGCATTGGAACAGAAGGCTTCATGCGCAGGAGTTATTCCTCTCCCCACGAGGAATAAGCCCTCTTGCGCAAAAAGGCAGTTTGGATAGGAACAGGGGTTTCTTGAAACCCCTACAACTAAAATGGCCTCAGAGCTTTTTTGTGCAAGAGAGCGTCCACAGTGTCATGGAGCAAAATACAGGATTGTGTAGCACTTTAAAGACTAACAAGATGGTTTATTAGATGATGAGCTTTCGTGGGCCAGACCCACTTCCTCAGAAAAGCACATCCCTTGTGCAAAAGTACATAGCAGCATGGGCGTGCTCTCACGCAAGACCTTTTGCACAAGAACTCTTGGGCAAAAGAGTTCTTGCGCAAGAAGCCTGCAGTATATATGTAGCCTAGATGTGTTGCTGGAAGGAGCCTTCCCCTAACATAGCTCTGTCTATAGTGAGGGTTTACTCAATAAAACTATGCTGGTCATAGTGTGAATTTTCACACCTCTGAACAATATTGCTATGACAATTTGTAGCTCAAGCTGAAGCTACTGGTCAGTGTTCTAAACTGTTTGTATTCCAGATCAGCAGCGCTAAGGAGATAATATGTTCACCCACTGGAAATATGGACGAATGAACAAACAAATGCTCTATATAACAGTGGTTCCCAACCTTTTTTATGCCGGGGACTGGCAACATTTTATTTGCATATTCATTATGCAAACATGCAAATAAAATGTTGCCATCCGCCTAGTCCCAACCCATCCCCTTGCTCCCCAGTGCCTAACACCCTCTGATCCCCCATTCCTGTATCCCATGCTCTTTGACCCTTTAACCTCTGAACCCTACAGCCCATGTAAACAACCTCTTGCCCACCACGCCCTCACCCACTGTTAGGATTGAAAGCCATTTCTTCTTTTTTATATTGGTATTTTAGGTTTAGTAATGTAAGGTAACATATAATCATATTTAAGATTGTAGTAAGTCAAAATCCTTAATAAAGTATATATCTCCTATATTTCCTTGTTCTAAAGTTTTAGTAAGTAAAGAGACAGGATCTCATATTGTGTCTATGTTTAAGAGATTAGAAATATTGAAGGCCCAGGCCTTCGAAGTGAATTGTTTTGATTTTGATTAATATAAAACAGTTTTGTTTACTTTTGAAGGATTTTGTGAAAGATTGTGTGAATGAGATAACGTGTGAAGGTCATCATTAGAGCCAGATGGTCAAGAGAAAAGGGGCAATGCAGGTGAAGGCAAACTGTAAAAGACAGACTGCAAAAAGCAGAGAAACCGTCAATGCGTACCAACGGTCAAGAATGGATCAGATTGGCAGAATTGACGGCTTTAAAGGTAAAGGGCGGGCATCCCTAAATACAACTGATTAACAATCCAGGACAGGATGAGCCTTCAAGAGATGTTTGGGAACGACTGACATCAACAAGGTAACACTCCAGTCACATAATGACACAGCAGAATACATTGATTTCAACAGAGAAAAAGATGATAAAAGCAGGGTGCTTTGCTATGGAACTTTGGGTTCATCTTGCCAACAAATCCAGGAGCATCAGATTGATCGACCGACAGAGCCCTGCTCCCTCTCTGTGTTCGATTTAGCTGGCCACTAGATTGATACAGACTCTGGACTGGTAACTATAACATCGTCTGGCAAGACTGCGTGTGTGTGAATGACTGAAAAGCATATGCACCCATTGTATTCTCAATAAATGTGGCATACTGCCTTTTCCCCTATAAAAGATCTCGTATGCTTCGTTTATGCAGATAACACCATCACCTCTTTGCCCCCACTCCATCCCTGCCCTCCCCAGAATGCAAATAAATGTTTATTTTCTCAGATATCCACTACACAAGGAAATTGACCTGTAAAGACAATATCTAATGTCATTGTTTTGGCAAAGCAGCCTTCTGGCTGGCTGCAGAAACTTCCGTTGTACATCATTTTCTCCAAAGGTGCTAACAACTCACACACACAATTTCAACATGACAAATAAAAATGACCTGGAAGCAGAAGTAGAATTGTGCTGCTTTTCATTGTTATATGATGTATAAAGAAGTGTGAAAGATGTTTGTTTTAAAAGTTCTGCTTGGTGCTTTTCCCACCTCTCCCAAATATCAGATCTTGTCTATCTGACTGGAGAACTAGTTAAGTAATGACATCAAAGGAGGCAAGAATCTCAGCACTCTGCAATTCAGAAGCGCAGGGATTTTAGACTATTTGAACTTTTATTTTTGTATATCATCTATTTGACTGCCCTAGCCAATGAACCCTTTATTAAAATTTCATCACTCCACAACTTTAACTAAAGGGGGAGGGGAGGAGCTCACAATAAGCATCTTCACAAAAAGTCTTCTAGTAAAACCATAAAATGCAAAACTTGAGCTTTGTTATTTGCAACGTAGAAACAAACCAATAACACTTTATTTTATTAGTAAAATAAAATGGTCCTCCTAAACTAGCCTCTTATTTCAGACTCAGATCCATATAAAAATAAATTCTTTTTCAGGTCACTTTTAAGACTTTGTAAGAGTCTTTTGCTATTGAGCACAGGCCCAGAGTCTCAGCTGTTGCAAACTGCAGACACTCTATTTGGCCTTAGTATAAATGTTTAAAAATGTTTATTATTTAATTTTCATTTAAAATATAAATATCAGCGTCAGTACTTTCTTCTTATTGCTATTTCTTCAATTGCTGCATGGGATCTGGAGTGTTTCAGTTACACAGGCATACTCCCTCTACACAAATCATATGCTCTTTGGCTGATGGATGCCCTTACATGTGGATGGTCAAATTCTCCTTGTTCCTATGTCTTTTGATTTCAATAGAATTATACCAATAAAACTGAGGGGAAAATTTGATTCAATATTTAATTAATACCAAAGATCAGACAAAGACTCCCTCCCTAATCATACCTAATGTAAACAAGATTATTTAGAGCACAGCAATAGTTAAACTCTAGAGTAAACATACTAGATTGATATGTTGAAAAAGAAAAAGTTCTGAATTGGCCAACTGGCCCCAGTACAAGTATTTTAAAGATGGAGATTTCTCAGACCTGGGCCTTTGGGAAGACAAGAAAATCAAGCAACTCAGCAAAGTACTGAGGAGGTCAGCAATAAAAGCACCATACACTTAACTGCAAGGCTCACTGAGCTCTTGACATTCCTGCAATAACAATGTATACAACACAGATGAGTGCCCCACCCCAAACATTGCCTGCTTTATTCAGTTAGTAGCACTGAGAAGAGAGCATGGCAGGAGTAAACAAGACATGAGTACAGTAATTCTTCCATTCTACTGAGTGCTGAGAATGCCTCAGCTGGAGTAGTGTGTCCAGTTCTGGGCTAGGGATGTTAGAGTGTAATCAGTGTTATCAGTTAACTGCGCTGTCCCCCACCCCCGCTGCAGTTCTGCAAGTAAATTTGGAGCCAGCCGGCCAGCTGGTTGGCTGGCTGGCAGGCAGGCAGTCTCAATCCCCGCACACACCAGGTCCCGTCTGCTACCCCTGCTCCTAGGCTGCTCCAGCTATGGCTCTGCATTTAAAAAACGTTGCTGGCAGCAGGGAACTGATGCACACCGGGAGCCTCCCAGTACCTAATGCAGAGTCATTAATGCCCTATGTAAAAGTAATGCTTAACCATGTAACTGACAGGATATTTAATGATTACATGGTTACCGTATTACATTATTTTTAACATCCCTATTCTGGGCACTCCATTTCAGATTAGCAGAAAGTCCAGAGGAAAGCAACAAAAATAATGGAGAGTCTAGAAAACATAACTTATGAAGAAACATTGAAAAAACTGGTTTTTGTCTGGAGGAGAGAAGACTAAGGGGGGACATGGCAACAGCTTTCAAGTACATAAATGCTTGTTCCAAGAGATGACAGGCCAGGGGCCCCCAGAACAGCATGTCTGGGGAGCCAGGGCCCCATAACTTTTAGCCCTCCCCACGTTACTAACTGTAAGGATAAACAATAGGCGGTAGGAAGAGGTGGAGAGAAGCATTCAATGGGCAGGGTCTTTGGAGGAAGAGGTAGCATGGGGATTGGGTCATGGTTCTGGCACAGGTGCCCCTACCCTACACTTTTAGGGAACTTCTGCAGTACCTGGGAAGAAAAACAGTTCTCCTTAACCTCTGATGATTGTAAAGAGCTTAAATTCATAGAATCATAGGACTGGAAGGGACCTCAAGAGGTCATCGAGTCCAGCCCCCTGCCCTCAAGGCAGGACCAAGCTCCATCTACACCATCCCTGACAGATGTCTATCTAACCTGTTCTTAAATATCTCCAGAGAGGGAGATTCCACCACCTCCCTTGGCAATTTATTCCAATATTTGACCACCCTGACAGTTAGGAATATTTTCCTAATGTCCAATCTAAACCTCCCCTGCTGCACTTTAAGCCCATTACTCCTTGTCCTGTCCTCAGAAACCAAGAGGAACAAATTTTCTCCTTCCTCCTTGTGACACCCTTTTAGATATTTGAAAACCGCTATCATGTCCCCCCTTAATCTTCTTTTTTCCAAACTAAACAAGCCCAGTTCATGAAGCCTGGCTTCATAGGTCATGTTCTCTAAACCTTTAATCATTCTTCTCGCTCTTCTCTGTACCCTTTCCAATTTCTCCACATCTTTCTTGAAATGTGGCGCCCAGAACTGGACACAGTACTCCAGCTGAGGCCTAACTAGTGCAGAGTAGAGCAGCAGAATAACTTCACGAGTTATGCTTACAACACACCTGTTGATACAACCTAGAATCATATTTGCTTTTTTTGCAACAGCATCACACTGTTGACTCATATTCAACTTGTGGTCCACTATGACTCCTAGATCCCTTTCCACCATGCTCCTTCCTAGACAGTCGCTTCCCATCTTGTATGTATGGAACTGATTGTTCCTTCCTAAGTGGAGCACTAATTGCAAGAGGGAGGTTTAGGTTGAACATTAGGAACAACTTCCTGTCAGGCTGGTTAATCTCTGGAATAATTGCCTAAAAATATCTCTTAGGAAGAGGTCAGACAAACACCCGTCAAAGATTTCAGAGGGGTAGCTGAGTTAGTCTGTAACTGGAAAAACTTTAAAAATATCAAATAGTCTTGCAGCACCTTAAAGATCAATAAAAAAGTAAATAGTGGTGTGACACCATATACATTTTTTGTTGGTCTCTAAGGTGCTGCAGGACTATCTGATGTTTTTTAAGTTTTACCTGTCAAGGATGGCCTAGTTATTACCTAGCTTCCAGTCCACAATAGTGAACTAGAGGACTAGTTGAGGCCCCTTCCAGTCCCTACATATTGCTATGATTTGATAATCAGTCCCTTTGGAGAGCTACCTAACCAATCCTCCTCAATTGCCATAGTGCCAGGAGGCAAACTGGGGGGTGGGGGCATCTGTCACTGCTGCGTGCCACGGATCTGTTTCAACACCAGGTCCTTTGTTGGGAGCTAAGAAGGCCCGAAGAAAACAAGCCAGTCTCAAGTGGTTTGAGCTTATCCCCAGGGGGCTTGGCTTGGCATCTGGAAAAGTAGGTTGTGCCCATGAAATCTTATGATCCCATCGACATATTTTGGTAGTCTTTAAGGTGCTGCAAGACTATGGCTTGTTTTTTAAGTTTTTCTTAGCTGTGGAAAAGTCTGAAACGGTGTTGGCCAGACATTTAAAAGTAAAGTCCCTTCCCCCCCACACTACTTGAATTCAGTGGGAGTTTTGTGAGACACGACAGGATGGCACCGAAGTTCCCACCGAGATTGAAAACTACCTACTTATCCTCCCTCAGTCCCCTCCTCCCCCGAGGGGCGGGGGCGGGCTGCCTACAGACAAGGCGCCGAAGCTTCGGCTGCTGGCACACGGCTGCGCCCAGGGGACCTCTGCCCGCCGCTCCCTGGCCCCGCGCTGGGGCTGGAAGCTCTTTGGGGCGGGGCTCCAGCACCAGGACTGAGGCTCGCCGGGCCTGCGCTAGTTCGCTTGCCGAGCCACTGCGGCTCCCTCGGGAAAGGGCCCGAGGGCAAAGCGCCCACCCAGCGCGGCAGCGGCTCCCGTGGCCCCGGACCCGCAGGGAAGCAGCCAAGCGGCTTCCCCTTCGACTTTCCGCCTCCCTACCCCGCAGGGCCGGGCGCGCCCGCGCACTCACCCGACCAGAGAAGGCAGCCGGCCACCAGCGCCTGGAAAAGCCGGGCCATGGCCTCGGGCTCCCCCTGGCTGCCCGCAGGCTGCAGCCCGGTGTGGCAGGAGCGCCTGGCTGGCCACTGCCCAGTGGAGGGGCTGCTAGCTCGCCGCCTCACTCGGCGCTTTCCTAGCCAGCGCCTGCTCCCGCCTCCGTACTGGGCGAGGCCTCCCCGTGTGGGACTTTTCCCCGCCCGGCCTGTTCCGCCTTCCTGCCCGCCCGCAGGTGAACTCTGTCCCCGGTGCAGCGCGCCACAAGGAAACGCCTCAGCCCGGCTCTCAGCGCGGAGCCCTGCGCCTGCTTGGCAAGGCGAGAGCTCCTGAAGCGGAGGCGCTTGGTGCCAGCATGTGCCACCTCCACGCGGGGCGAGCGCCCAGCCCCGGGGGAGAAACCCAAACCCACTGACGGGCTGGGGAGGGAGGAAGAAAGGCAGCGCTGAAATCACCCGAGGGGTGCGAATCAAGCTTTGGCTCTCCGGTGGTTTTGCACCCACGAGCCCGTTCTCCGTCGTGCTGGGGCGGGCTTCTTGTCCGACCGTGTGTTGTAGCAAAGGTGGAAGGCGGGAGTTTACAAGGAAAGGGCGCTGTTCAGTAGTGCACCCTCCTAAGTGTTTCTGTACCACTTTGAAACTAGCCAAGAGAAACGATACCTTCCTCCATTTATCCATTCCTGGAACAAATCGTGCCGGGGCAAAAGCGGTTGGTTGCTAATACAACGGGAAATAGCCTCTTTATAAATATACAATAGTCTTATATATTTACTATAATGACAATGTTACCTAGTGCACATACATATACAAAAGTATCTTTTAACAATCATCAGAGGGGTAGTGCATGTGACGAAGTGGGTCTTTGCCCACGAAAGCTTATGCTCCAACACTTCGGTTAGTCTATAAGGTGCCACAGGACTCCTTGCCGTTTTAACAATCATGTTCGTAGCTATTTCCAAAGGGTCAGACTCTGTAAGGCAGTGGTTATCTACCAGGCTGCAGATCCAAGGCTCCCTAAGGAGCTTCAGACAGATTTCAGGGGGTCCTCCAAGCAGGGCTAGGTAGGACTTATGAGGTTTATGGATTAATGCTGCCAGCTAAACACAACCCTCTCTCTCTTCTGCGAGTAATTTTTTTAATGGGTCGGCCCGCAGGCTATCTCAGTCCTTGCTGATGCCAGGTCTCAGCAGCTACCCGTGCTGCGGCTCTGCATTAAAAGTACTTAAATACTGTACCTGCCTGCTGACTCCTTAAGTACTTTTAAGGCATAGCTGCAGTGTGAGTAGCTGCCAGGACTTGGCATGAGCCAGCCTTCCTGCCCGCCGGCTCCTTGGTTATTTTCAATGCAGAGCTGCTTATCAGGCAACTGTAACCAACAAAATATTTGTTGGCTACAGGGTTATTGGATTACATGCAATCTAACATCCCTAATGGAAATGTGATAGTATGGACAGGAGTGAATCTGAGCCACAGTAACTTTGTGAAAGGATTTTAAAAGAGATTCTGTTGGGATAATATTAGGGTTCTTCTGTAGACCCACAAATATTGATAGTAATCTATTTAGTATTATACAAATAAAAATTACCAGGAATTATGTCATAATAGGAGACATTAGTTTCCTGGATATTGATTGCAGAATAAATGCTACTAATACTGGCAGCCTCTCCTTCCCCCCCCCCCCCCATGTGAGAGATGACAGTTTTCTTTCCCAAATTGTTCCTAAACAAACAAAGTGATGCAGTTTTAGACTTGGCTTCTGTTAGCAGTGAGGATCTCCTAGAGCTGGTCATAGGAAATAACCTTGAGCCATCAGCAAATGATTCAGTTTAAATTAAATGGTCAGTTGTAGATAATAATGAAGAGCTGACAGGTCAATGATGGAAAGCCAGCTTCTTTAGATTATGGCTCAGGGCCAGAGCACAATCATGAATATTCATTCAGATGCCTGGCCATCCATCTCCAAATCTAACTTCCTCACCCTCTTGTTGTGTGCTTATCCTGTCAGTTAACGTATTAATGCCTTTTAGTTCTATCACATAGATGCTATTCCAGTAAGGACTGCTAAGCTGAGATGGGGTCCACCTATCAAGGAAGGGGAAGAGCTTATTTGGATACAGGCAAGATAACCTAGTGAAGAAGACTTTAAACTGGGCTTGACAGGGGGCAGGTGACCAAAGCCCACAGGCTAGTTAAAAACATGGAGAAGAGTCGGAATATGTGGGGAGCATGGGCTGTTACTGCAGGGATAAAGGAGGGACAAGACAAAACTGGGCGAGGAAGGGAATCAAATCAGTATCTTAGATACCTGTATACTACTGCAAGAAGTATGTGGAATAAGCAGGCAGAACATGAAATGCTATAAATAAACACAGCTGTGATATAGGTGGCTTCACAGAGACTAGGTGGGATAATATGCACGACTGGAATAGTGGTATAGAAGGGTACAGCCTGCTCAGGAAGGACAGGCAGGGAAAAAAGGAATGGAGGTGTTGCCTTATATATTAAAAAATAGAAGATTTATCTGGTGCTGCCTGGATCCTTCAGTGCATGGAGCTGGCAGGAGTCAGGACAGGATCTTGGGAATGTGTCGGAGGGCAGGGCAGGAAGCTGAAGGTGTTGAGGTCAGGGGGGCTCAGGGTGGGGTTCCATACAGCCGGGCTTTCTCTCCACCCCAGCAAGTAGAGGCCTTTTAATCCCTCAAGTCTCCCCCAGCTGTCAAAGACCTTCTCCATTCTCCCCAGCCAGTAGAGGCATTCTCTCTCTCCCTGCCCCCCTTCTGCTGGCAGAGGTCTTTTCTCTCCCCCCAGCCCAGGTGTGGGCAATAATTTTTTGTCGGGAGCCACTTCAGAAATTTCTGAAGTGGCCCCGGGCAGAATTGGAAGGGGTGGGGCCTCAAGTGGAAGGGCCAGGACCAAGATACTTCCCTGCTTCCCCACCCACAGACCATGATTGGTCTGGGGGTGGAGGAGCATGTGAAGTCTTTGGCCCCTCCTCCCCAGAGGTTCCCCCTAGGTGTCCATGCCCCTGGCGGTGGGAGGAGACTTCACATGCTCCCCGTTCTGCCCCCAGGCCAATCAGGGTTTGGGGGAGAGAGAGCATACGAAGTCTCCTCCTGCCCTGTCAGGAGGTTGTGGCCCTTCTAAGAGCTGTTCATGCCTCACAGGGCAGGGTCAGGGCAGAGAAAACTTTGCGTGCTTCCCCCCGCCCCAAGGCCCTGATTGGCCTGGGGGTGGGGGAGCGCGCAAAGCCTCCTACCACCCTGCCAGGAGCTCATGGCACTTCTAAGCACCACGCACTCCTTGCAGGGTGGGGGAAGTGTGGAGAAAACTTCATGCACTCCCCCAACCTCCAGGCGAATCAGGGCATGAGTGCGGGGGAGTGTGTGAAGTCACCTCTCACCCTACCAGGAGCACGTGATGCTTCTAAGCGCCCTGTGCTCCTGGTAGGGTGGAGGAAACTTTGTGCACTTCCCCACACCCTAATTGGCCTAGGGGCGGGGGAATGGCACGGTCTATGTAGGCCGCATCAACCCGCTTGGCGGGCTGCATCTGGCCTATGGAGGTCTTTTTGCCCTCTCCTGCCCAGCAGGGCTGGCCTTACCATGAGGGGGGCGCCACTAGGACCCAGAGTGTAGAAAATTGTGTCTGCTGCTGGTGCATATGTAGGTAGCAGAGCTGTCCCATGAGAGGAATAGAACAGGAAGAAGGCAGAATTGAGACCTTTCAAAGTTTTGGCCCAAGCGAGGGGACATGGGGGCATCAATTGAGCTCCCCACCTCAGGTGCCAAGATGTTGTGGGCCGGCTCTGCTGCCCAGACCCTGTATCCAGCAGGGGCCTTCCCCCACCCAATCCAGCAAGGACTTTCCCCAGGGTCTGGCAGGGCTTTCTTCCTCCTCCCTCCTGCGACCAAGGGCCAGGTGGGGAGAGGGTTGGGAAAGACGAGCTACTTATCCAGTCTTGTGGCAGACAAATGGCAGGGCCCCAGCCTCAGCTTGCACTCTCTTGGTGGTGCAGCTGCCCCCAAGTGGACCAGTGGACTCTCTGCAGTATTGTGTCTTATTGAACAGTAGCCCCCTCCCTTTCCATGTTCTGGAAAACAGTCCCATTCCCGTCACTTCCTGTTTTCCTGACACAACCAAATCCTGACCTTGCTTTAAGTTAAGGTAAAAGAAAGCTGCACATCAAATTTGGTGACTCTAACTCTTACAATTTAGGAGGAGTTCTTGAACAAACAAACTTGCAGACAGACAGATGGACTCTAAAATATTTATAGAGATGTATTCATGTGGACTGAGGTTGAGATGGAAATTCAGGAGACAGACTTCTTGAGCAAAGATAAAAGGGTTAACAAACAAGGGTGCAGTCAAGCTAAGGATCTACCTGTTCCCATTGGCTGGGAATGGCAAACTGTGGCAACTGGAAGTAATGGTCAAGAAAACGGGATACCACATGGTATACACTATTGAGTTCTCCATTTACTTCTTGAGAAAGGCCCATTCCAGTGTATCTGTATGTAATACAAATTCATTACTGAAGTTTTGCCAGTGCAACACTGGGTGTCTATAATTCTTCACAGTCAGCTCTGGACTTCTCTTGAATAATTTTGTATCCTCTGCAAATGTTGCCACTTCACTGCCTGCTTCTTTTTCCAGATTATTAATGATCATGTTGGACAGCCCTGGTCCCAGCACATTTCCTAGGGAGGATGCCACTATTTACATCTTTTCATTATGAAAATGGACCATTTATTCCTACCCTTTATTTTCTATCTTTTAGCCAGTTAGCGATCTATGAGAAGACCTTCTTTCTTATCCCATGACTGGCTGGCAATGGCTGCCAAGGGACCATAGTCACAGCTGGGCCACGATGCACAGAGTCATGGCAGACTGGAACAAGAATTGGGTGCGTCAGCTCTGTATCCGTCAAAAACTTCCCTATGCCGATGAAATTCTCCGATGACAAGAGCTGATAGCTTTCCAGTGGCACAAAAGGGGCCAGAATGCCACACAGTTTACCTTCATTCTTAACCCTATCCACAAGATTAGATGGAGCATATATGTGGTATCATTATTCCAGAGCAATAGTTATATGTTTTCAAAAACTTTATTTAAATTTAAAAGCATTTACTACACCTCCGAAATATAATGTGGTAGCTAATAATATTACAAAAATATAAAAAATTACAAAAGGTAATAAAGTAATTAAAATAAAAAACCAAAGACATCTACTTCCATTATTAGTTAGGAATGACCAGATGCATTATTTTAGCAGCTTGAACTGTTCTCATAGAATATTGTTTTCAAACTTTCTGGCTCATATATAGTTCCTAGTTATTTCACCACAAAAATGAATATTCCATGTAGCATCATACATTGCATTAGAATTTCACACTTAAACTTCTGATTGAGATTTTTTACTTATGGTATAAGTCTAAATATGTTATGTAATATTTAATACCTTATTACTCTTTTGAACTGTTTTATATACTGTGCAGTTACCCCCTATTGTCTCTCCCAGATTTTACAAGCATTCTTATATTGGCACAGTATTTGCAGACTCATTAAGTGAAATCTTGGCCTCAATGAAACATATGGCAAAATTCCCATTTACTAAGGCCATATGTACACTACAAAATAAGTTGTCCTAACATAAATCAGTATACAGCCATTGCAATAATTACATTGCTTGTGCGTGTCCACACTTCGCTGTTTGTGTTGGTGGCGTGCATCCTCACCAGTAATACTTGTATCGATTGTACTGTCAGTGTGGGGCATTTTAGAATGGCTCCTGAAAGCCAGTAACAGTCAAAATAAGCAATGTGGTGTCTACAGATGCTGTGCTAACCTAACTACATCAATCTTCACTCTATGCCACTTGTGAAGGTGAAATTATTAAGTTGGCATAGCAAGGCATCCAGGTGGGAGAGAAATTAACTATAGATACTTCTTTAACTAGATTGACATATACTACATTGCATCAACATAATTCTGTAGTGTAGACCAAACCTTAAACTCAGGGGGAGGGATAGCTCAGTGGTTTGAGCATTGGCTTGCTAAACCCAGGATTGTGAGTTTAATCCTTTAGAGGTCTGGGACAAATCTGTCAGAGATAGTACTTGGTCCTGCTGTGAGGGCAGGGGAGTAGACTCAATGACCTCTCAAGGTCCCTTTCCACTCTATAAGATGGTATATCTCCATTTATTAGTATTATTTTAAATTGGACTAAAATTTCATCTTTAATGTTGTGCAATGAAACATGTTTTGTGGAAAAATAATATTTTATACTCCAGAATTTTAAGAGTGCTCTTCCACCAAATGTGCTATGGCCATCAACTGATTGGGTTCCTGTTTCACTACAGATACAGTAAAATGCTGAGATCTGTTTAAACTATACGAATAGAGGAGAAACAATTCGAATTAATGGGAGTTTTCTTTCTTTTCCTGTGGTTTTCACTTGATTAGTTTTCTCGCCACAAACAGTTTCTGTGTAGGATTAATTCATTTACAGCAGTGGTTTCCAACCTTTACAAGCATATAAAAATGTCACTCCCCTCTTTCTTGGGGGAGAAAAAAAAGGAAATGGAAAAGGAAGTAAAGGGCCCAATCCTCATTTTTAAACTTTCCACAGAGCCCCTGCAGTACCATTGTGGACTACCAGGGGTCCACAGACCACAGGCAGGAACCACTGATTTACAGGAATGCAGCATTACTCTACTCTTTGCAATGGTTTCAACATTTTTCAATGTAACTCCCCAAACAGAGACTGGTCATAGAGATTATTTTGTGGGAAGATATTCCCCCCGTATGATATCATTATTTTTGTTTCTGGTGGTGAATTTTTGTTAAAGATTTACTATTTATTAACACTTAAAGTAGACTTGTCTGTAGACCATGTGCAAGAATTTACAAAGTTTAATAACTGGCATATATTGTTACTATACACAATTACTTTCAGATTTGTACTTCACTTCTTTGTGTGTGAAATATAGCTAGTATTGTACACTAATAGCTTATCTGCACAACAGGTTGTTTGCTCTGAGCTGATGTGTACCATTTGGTGCACAATACGTAAGTTGCTCTAACAGCATGCATATGGGACAGGTGTGCCTTTTTTCAGTTTGCATCATTGCATGTACATGGCGGAGGCTTTGTGCATACAACACATATACCATTTTGGGTAAGTATACCATGCTCCTTTGCTGGAGAGCTGTGTGCACTCTAGGATTTGTTTCCTTGCGCACTGTGAAATGCGTTGCAGAAACCAGTGGAATTCCAAGACAAAGTAAAATTTCAAAAATTCCATGATTTTGCTCTCTCTACCTGATTTGATTCCTGTCGAGGAAAGCTAGCACCTTTCAAACTGCTGTTGGCCAGCATGGAGGCAACAATGCGCCACACCATGGCTGTGTCTAGACTGGCAAGTTTTTCCGCAAAATCATCTGATTTTGCGGAAAAACTTGCCAGCTGTCTACACTGGCCGCTTGAATTTGCGGAAAAGCACTGACAATCTCATGTAAGATCGTCAGTGCTTTTCTGGAAATACTATGCTGCTCCCGTTTGGGCAAAAGTCTTTTTCCGAAAGACTTTTGCCCAAAAGGGCCAGTGTAAAAAGCACAGTAGTGTTTTCCGCAAAAAAGCCCCGATCGCGAAAATGGTGATCGGGGCTTTTTTTGCGGAAAACCGCGTCTAGATTGGCCACGGACGCTTTTCCGCAAAAAGTGCTTTTGCGGAAAAGTATCCTGCCAATCTAGACGTGCTTTTCCGAAAATGTTTTTAACTGAAAAGTTTTCCGTTAAAAGCATTTTTGGAAATTCATGCCAATGTAGATGTAGCCCATGAGTCTGGTAATTGTGAATACAGAGAGGCTGTCTGGGCTTTATTTGAGCTCTCAGTTATGGGTGGCTTTGGCCTCCAACTGCCACATCACCAAGGCGCTGCTCTGGCTACCCTGAGGAATGAGCAGAATATCAAGCAACCACTACTGTACTCTTGGAGCAACTTCACTTGGTGCTGTGCTTAGGGAACCAGCACTGATTGGTGGGTACAGTGTGGCAGTTGCCCCCGTCTGGCAGGGAAAGGGGTTAAAGCAGGCTGGAGGGAGCCTGCGTAGACCCCAGCCAATGAGAAGGAGGCTTGCAGGAGCAGCCCAGATATGAGGGGTTGCTCAGCTGAGCACAAATATGTCTCTCTCTGAAGGACAAGGGAGGAGGATTGGCTACCTGAAGGAGCACCAAGGACAGAACAAGGTTGGGCAAATTCAGGGGAGTCAGAGGCTGCGCCAGCCTGATAACAGCCAGACTAGGCCTCTAATACAAAGGGCTGAGAGGGTACAAGAGCTATGGGCAAAGTGACCCAGGGAAGGCAGGCAGTAGAGAAGAGTGGAGGAGGGCAGCAGGTAGCTGACACTCTGGGCCAGGGCTCAGAGCAATGAGCGGGTCTGAGTTCCCTCCCGTGTTTGAGCCACTGGTCACTGAAGGAAGTGGCTACACTTTGAAGGACAGCAGTTTGCTCCGAGGGAGGGGCTAACAATCCGCTGCAGTTTGCCACTGTGGCACGGGGACAGATTTAGGACTGTGGGTTCCCATGGAATGGGGGGAAATCGGAGCTGGGACACCACTGGAGGGCTGTGCCCCAAAGAGGGCGCTGCCGTCCAGTGAGTGACATGGGTCCAGAGGGTTGAGACAGCCAACACAGGAGTGACGATGGCAAGACAACCCTATAGAAAGGCGCAGTTGGACAACTGAGCTAATTCCCAGCGTGACCAGTAGGAGGCACCATGGGGGAATCTGCATACCGATACAGTGGGATTGTTCTGCAGACCTAGGATGACCAGCAGTAGCAACAGAATTTCAAGACAGGGAAAGCAGCCTTTTCTGAGATCTGTACTGAACTAGCTGCAGTGGCACCATACCAACGTGTAATGTCCCATAACACACTGAGAAGTGGGTGTCCATAGTCATCTGAGGCTGGCCACCTTAACTGTTACTGGTCCAGTTTGATGCAGGGTGATCGACTATTGGAGAAATTCTCACACACGCGTGTGCTGCCATGCAGAAGGCTCTATTGCACCATGTTATAAATTCTGGTAATGCTCTGGAGATTATTAATGGTTTTGCACGCCTGGGTTTCCTGAATTGTACTGAGGCATCTGATGGGACCCATATGCCCATCATTTGACCCCGCACAGCAGTGTAAGTTAAATGTTGGAAGAGTGCCAAAGTATCATGCAGTAACATTGTGCACACATGAGCAATAGTCTGCACTAACTAGTTTTCATTTAACATAGTACACTTAGGAGGAAGACTTCAGAATGTGCACTAAGTAAAGAGGACTAAGTAAAGGATTGTCTCATGTGTACACAGGTATTTTCAATCTGCACTAACTCCCTTGTGCAGAGAATCCCTAGGCTACCAAAATACTGTTCATTAACATGAGTCCTGCATGCTTTTATAATGTACAGACATATATTTAGAATTTTTAAAAAATTCACAGTCATCAGAAACTGACCTGTATGATCAAACCAGAAATAGGTACTCTGAAACATGATCAATTGTATGTTCATATTTTATAAAGTGGTTCTTCCTTGTACCAGTTCATCTCCTTATGTATTCTGAATCTGATGTATCACTTTCATCTGACACACTAGGCTTTTGCCATTCATGTGAGCTGTTATGACAATCTGGCCTCTTACTATAGTCTATGTTAGTAAAAGGTTTTGATTCAAATTCCTCAAAAGCGCAATAATCTTGCAAGTCAACTTCATCCTCTTGGTGAGTGACTAATGTTGTAGATTCATCCCAGGTCTTCTCAGGGTCTCTCAGCATCACAGTGCTTAAGTTTATGTTAAAGCAAGCACTGTTCCTTAAGTCAGAAGTTGAGGAATGGTTTACTTCAGATGAAGGATGAAACAACACTTTACTTGTGCTTTCATTTTCTTTAATGACTGATTGATCCTCTTCAGAATTTTCTGCATCAGAATCCAGCAATTTAATTGCTTGACTGCTACTCTCTGCAGATGCACAGTCTATAGACTGCTGCACAAAAGTATTCGATTTGGCATGGGAATTTACAATTCTGCCCAAGATGCCACGTTTGGTGTATTCATCAGAATTTTCGCTATCACTTCCACTATCATCATCATCATCATCATCACAGTATTCCCACTCCTTTTTTATAATCTCCTTATGGATGATTTGTACAGAGCACACTATTTCAGGATCAGGGACATGCACCGAGCAGTGTAATGTATTTGTGGTTTCCTAAGAAAACAAAACAAAAAAACACACACACAAAAATTACACACAGATAAGAGTATAAGAAAGTAATCCTCCTACTTACTTTAACAGCTGCTTCATTACTTTGCGCTTATATTAATACACACCCCAAAATAATGTTTTAGCCTTATCTTCAAAGCTCTGAGAAACGAGACGTCTTCCCTCTCCTGCACTCAAAAAAGGATGACATCATGCTCCAAAACACAAACACAGAGAACCGAATAGTCTCATTGCATATTGGTTCCAAATAAGAACAGAAATGAACTTATGCTTTTCACCAAAGAAAACCCTAAATGGAAGGCACTGTGTTTTCAAATGTATTTTGTGTGGAGTTTTTTTCTGTTGAAAAGGGTCAAGTACATTTTGTTGCAAGGTTTTGCAGAGTAAGGAAAACAGGAGAGGGGTAAGAGAAAGTTTCCAGCTCTCTTTGCAGAGATAAATTTCTAGGACTGAACGTTCACCTGTGAAAAGAACATGGGTTCAGAGGGTAACACTTTCCACGTGCTTCCTGGAAGTTAAGGATCAATTTTAACACCCTAATATTTGCCAACTGTACACAATCCTGTATATACAGGCAGTCCCCGGGTTACGTACAAGATAGGGACTATAGGTTTGTCCTTAAGTTGAATTTGTATGTAAGTCGGAACTGGCGTCCAGATTCAGCTGCTGCCACTGAAACTGTGGTGAGGGCAGCCTCAGCGCCTGAATAAAACGCTTGAGTCATGCTGTGGCTGAGCATCAAATGGCTGCTGAATTTGCCTCCACAATGCTTGTGTTAAGGAAGTCAAATTGTTTTGTAATATTCCTTGGGATCTATTGGGCCCGATCCCCAGCAGTTACACCGCTTTGTGGACTTCAATGGAGTTATGCCGAATTATACACTCTGGCTTCATCTATACTGGCAGCTTCATGCGCAAGAACTCTTTTAACCATAGGGCTTTCTTGCACAAGAAATTCCTGTTGCCTGTCTACGGTGGCCTCTTGCGCGGGGTGGGGGGGGGGTGGGGGCACACTTCTGAGCGGGAGCATCAGAATTCTTGCGCAAGAAGCCCTGATTTCATACATTAGAATGTCAGTTTACTTGCGCAAGATCATCCTGTATGTTTAGAAGGAAAGCTTTTCAAGGTGTCCACAGATTTTAAATTGTAACATTACATATAATGGCTCTAGCAAAACCAGTAGAAAACAGAGATTTTCAGGGCAGCTGATGTTCTTCTGAGCGGGAGCATCAGAATTCTTGCGCAAGAAGCCCTGATTTCATACATTAGAATGTCAGTTTACTTGCGCAAGATCATCCTGTATGTTTAGAAGGAAAGCTTTTCAAGGTGTCCACAGATTTTAAATTGTAACATTACATATAATGGCTCTAGCAAAACCAGTAGAAAACAGAGATTTTCAGGGCAGCTGATGTTTCAAACTCTTTTCTCATGAAGCTCTCTGCTTCTGTTAACAGAGTTTTCACTCTTACTTTCTCTCTCTCTCAGCCCCTTCACCTGAGACCATATCTATATTCTTTGGCAATGGAGCCACCTTAGCTTCCATTTTAAGAACCTTTGTTGCTTGCCTTTGTCTGACAATGCCCATTGAAATCTTATCACATCCTTGAAGGAAGTAAAAGTGAAAATGTGAGTCTAATTTGACTTTACAGGACAGGTAATTTCCAAAGACATTTTTGTTTCATCTTCTCGGAAACAGGTATAGTTTGCTGTTTGTAAATGGCATTTTCTCATTTTTCTTCTTGTGATTTCAAACTCTTCTCTTGAGTAAAAGTTACTTGTTTCCACAGTCAGGTTGTTCCAAACTGTTCTCTGTATAAGAACTTGAGTACTCAGACAGAGAACCCCAATGCTTTTTAGGCTGCTTTTTGGGCTCCCTAGATTTTGTTCACCCATCTCCACCTTCATCTTCTGTGCTTTTTTTTAGCAAGGATCTCCCAAGTACACTCCTAAACTTCTACCTTGCATCTAGAGCAGGCCTGGGAAAAATACTGCCCACAGGCCACATCTGGCCTACAAAGCCACTGGATTTGGCCCATGGACGCAGCGGGGAGCCTCAGGCTGCCCCCATATGCCACTGAGAAAAGTGAGTGCTGCAGGGCTCTGTTTGAACAACTGAGAGCCCCAGGGGAGAGGTGAAAGGCTTCAAGCAATTCCACCATCCTTGGCACAATCCTATTGGTGGGTTTATGGCCAATGGGAGCTGCCTGTTCTCAACAGGCAGCTTGTGAAGCACCCTCCTCTTAGGCTCGCAGCTATTCACAGACCAGTGGGGGTGAGGGGCACAGGCAGGGTCTCTGCTGGAGACGGTAAGTCTCCTGGACAGAGCCTGCTTCTGGCCCCCTACCCTTCTGCCCCCCAACTGCACACATAACCTAAACCCTCTGCCCCCCTTCTGCATCCATATCCCCTCCTAGATCCTGTACCCCAAACCCCTGCCCCGGGTCATAATCCAAATCCCTGCACCCACATCCTCTGCCCCAGGTCATAACCCTCTCCTGCCCTAAGTCACAGCCCAAACCCTTTCACTCTAGTCCCCTGCCTCAGGTCACAACCCCCTGCTGTCCAAGGTCACAAGCCAAAGCCCTGCACCTCCTCCTTACTCCTATCCAATGTCACAACTTCTGGGTCCTCCATTCCTTTCCCCCCCACCCCACATATAACCCAAATCCTTTGCTCGCCTCCTGCACCTCAATCCTGGGTCACATCCCTCTCCGATCCTAGGTGACAACCCTTGCCCCATGTCACAACTCCTTCACCCAAACTCCCTTCCAGACCCGACACCCTCTCCTGCACCCCAATCCACTACCGCAAGCTCCCTTCTGCACCCAACCTCCAACCCAGACTCTGCACCTCTTCCATTAATATCATGGAAGATTGTGGCCTTTGACCACCTTCCAAATTCTTGGGAGTGGCCCCCTCATCAAAAATTATTGCTCACCCCTGATCTACAGGCTGACAGTCTAAGTCTGGGGAAAGAACTTTGGGAGAGATTATTTTGGAGAATCCTCTGTAGAGGAAGAGAAGGGGGGAAAAAAACCCCTCCTTTCCATGAGAGATTATATACCCATTTCAGAAGTGGGCAAGAGATGTTAATGGTCTGATTCACAAGGAAGTAGAGCCTTAAAGTGAGCCAAAGCACTGCTCATTGTGCTTTTCCTTGGAGAAGGACATAAAAAGTAACTGGGATGGAAGAGGGTCAATTTTATGAACTAGCGTTAAAAGTGATGCTTCTGGTGGCTTATCCCACAGATTTTCTCACTGAAGGCTGGCTACAGCATAAAGAGGCAAAGGAATGGCACTAGTTGAATTCTGAGCCCATTTCCTAGAAGAATAAGATTCAAAGAGCTTGGTGTAATGAAGACCAAGGTCTCTTTCAACAGCTGGCTGGAAGACAGCCTCAGAGATACAAGTGTCTTTATATCTCCTTTAAAGCATTAGACCTGCCCCCCTCTACCTAGAGAGGAAGGCAAACGTGGTGAAGACTGCTGAAGATTTGTCAAAGAATGGATATATATAGCTCGAACATTAAATAGCTGTCATTTAAATTTCCCTGTTTTTATAACTAAGAACAAAAAGCTATGACATTCTTATTTGTTGGTTTACCATTATAGGCATGCTGAAAGCCTGTATATCTACTTTAGTGGTGCCCTTGAATCCTGAGCCATCCTCAGAGCTTAAAGGCCTGAGCCAACTCCCAGGGCAGCCAATGGAAAGTCTCACTGAATGTAATGGGAAATGGATCAGGCCTTTAGGCAGACTGTGATGGTAAAAGACTTAAGTAGGCAGGGACAAAAACATCAAGCTAAGGTAGATCAAAGCATCCCAAATATTGGAAGCTACACTCACATGCTGCAAAGAGAGATTGAAGTTTCTAACACATGGACGAATAAAAACATGGGCTTTTTCTTTATCTCTTTTCGTCCCAAACCCAAAGCATTTTAATTAGGAATTACTACAACAGTGGCTGATGAGAAAAGTTCTGGCTCTCTCACATCTCCATTCTCTTCTACTGACATGAGGAAAACAAACTAAAGTTTCCATGCAGCATCATGACAGGGTAGTTGTATAAACCTATTTCAGTTTTTTAGTTTGGGATATTGATTTTTGTTGAAAACAAATAGAAGTTTTTCTTTGGAAAGCAGAGTTATTTGCTAAAAAATTTGCTTAATTGAAATCTAAGTTTTCTATAAAAAACTGTTTTGATGGAAAGTTTTCAACCATCACTCTTCAGAACTTCTATAGTTGTTCTATGGAACCATCACAGATCACCACTAGATAAAAACATATACATTATGCTTATGTTTCCAAACCTGTATTTCATATTCTAGATACTCCAAAATTTTGTGTAAACCAACAATTGATTGGAATAGCCCTGATGCTATAAGCAAACATGGCAGTAATTATATATGCAACAATAGCTTACAGGTAGCTTTGGACATTTAAACCAATGTTGGCTAAGGCACCAGGAATAGCTAGTAATCATAGCATAAAGTTACAAGTGATCTTTTGCCCTGCAACAGGACAGAAGTGAGAAGACCTAGATTTTAACTTTTAATCCATAACTTTATAAAAAAAACCGAGAGTTTCAAATCACCTCAGAAGTAGTCAATTTTTTTTTATTAAAGTCAAAATTTCTGAGTCAAGAGAAAATAGTAATAAAACCCAAAAATGAGAGTAAGTAAAGAAAGAGATTTTGGGGTCTCTTCAAAAAAGTCTGGCAGTCTGGATTTGGCCCATGGTCCATCTACTGACTACCCCAAGTCCTGACCTATGTTTTAGCAGCACTAGTAAGAACCTTTTTGATAAACATTTAAGCTACAACATTTAGTAACCTACAGATAATAATTGTGGGTATTTTCTACCCAATGTAAAACTGCAAACTGAATAATGAACTTTCTTTCGGTATTAGCAATATGTCCTAAACTTCCCAGGCTGAAATTGGCAGGTGACATATTGGCTACGTCTAGACTGGAATGATTTTCCGTAAATGCTTTTCCGTTAAAAGCATTTGTGGAAAAGAGCGTCTAGATTGGCACGGACACTTTTGCGCATAAGCACTTTTTGCAGAAAAGCATCCATGCCAATCTAGAAGTGGTTTTGCGCAAGAAAGCCCCGATCGCCATTTTTGCCATCGGGGCTTTTTTGCGCAAAACAGTTTTCAGCTGTCTACACTGGCCCTCTTGCGCAAATACATTTGCGCAAGAGGGCTTTTTCCCGAATGGGAGCAGCATAGTATTTGCGCAAGAACACTGACAATCTTACATTAGATCGTCAGTGTTCCTGCGGAAATTCAAGTGGCCAGTGTAGACAGCTGGCAAGTTTTTCTGCAAAAGCACTGCTTTTGCGGAAAAACTTGCCAGTCTCGACGCAGCCATTATGTATTAGTTAAATTCTCACTTTCTGCCCCTCAGTGTCCAGATTTCTTGTGCTGCTCTAGTGTTCACTATGCTGAGATGACAGAACAATACCTTTTGAAAATGTTCTAGAGAACAGAGCTTGCCTTTAAGGAGGGCAGATAGCAAAAAAGCCTTTTTTTGTGGGGGTTTTTTTGAAGTAAAAATTCCATAGGATGGAAAATATTTAAGAAAACATTCTCCAAAAATTAAAAAAAATATTTTATTTTCCCTGACATATCCTCCTTTCCTTTGCCTCAGTGAAGTTCCATGGCATTTATAACATTTTGTTTAAAGACTCCCCGGTATGGTGAACAGACAGATGACATTTAATTGGGAACTACATTTAGGAATCATAGAAGTAGAAAAGGGAAAATGAAAAGGTACAAAAATGAATTTTTAGATCATTTACAGACCTTCACCACTCCCCCCCACACACACACCTTACGGGCACTAGCAGCCTATATATAAAGTGGATAGCTTTTCTAGTTTTTAAGGGAAATCTTCAATGTAAATATTTGTTACTTAACTTTTATCTCATGAACAATATATCTTGCTACTTGCTGTATAAATGTGATGAATATCTCCCCCACCAGATAAATTAAATATGAGAAAGACATACCAAGACTTTTGGCCATGGTCCACTCTTTAAGCAAATGAAACCTCCTTTATACAGTCCTATTAGGAGAACACCTAATACAAATGAAACAAGTCCACCACTTAGAATTGGAATTGTACCATCACCTACAAATGGGAAAGAAACATACACTGTAAAACACAACAGATGCAGGAATTATTTCCAAGTTATTTTATTTTACATTACACACTTGAGATTGAAAAGGACAATTCTGGATCACTGAAAAAACTGAAGAGCTATTTGTACAGCTAGCAGGATTAGCCAAAGGTACCTCCTATATTATGTATAGGTCCAACCAAATGTATATCAAAAGATGCTTTCTCTCTTAGGCTATGTCTAAAAGCCTCTTTCGAAAAAGAGCGTCTGGACTGCAACCAGTACTTTCGAAAAAGCAAGCCGCTTTTTCGAAAGAGAGCACCTAGGCAGTCTGGATGCTCTCTTTCGAAAAAGCACAGTTTGCATTACATAGCGCCTTTTTTCGAAAGAGCACTTTCAAAAAAAGGCGTTATTCCTCGTGAAATGAGGAGTACCGCCGTCGAAAGAAAAGCCGCGTTCTTTCGATTTAATTTTGAAAGAACGCAGCTGTAGTCTAGACGCAGGTGAAGTTTTTTCGAAAAAAGGCTACTTTTTCAAAAAAACCCTGCAGTCTAGACACAGCCTTACTGGGATATTTGCCAGTTACTCTTTTCTGAAAATACTACAGGTTGAACCTCTCTAGTCCGGCACTCTCAGAACCTAACTGCTGCTGAAGCAGAGGATTTGCCACAGGAGGTCAGTATTGTCTAGCAGCATTACCAACAGTTCCACTGCTTGCTGGGCTCTTAGAAGACATGTAGGTGTGAATTAGAGCTATATAACACTGACAGCCAGGACTGGTGGCTGTAAACAAACTTTATGGGAATGTGGGAAACTTGGCCACACTGGTTGGTGAACTAAAATCATGCCAGACAATGGATGCTGCCAGACCAGAAGGTGCCGTAATAGAGATGTTCAATCTGTAGTAACAACTAGAAAACAACCATACTGACAACCTGATCCCGTTCCACAACAAGCTTTAAAATGTGTGATACCTTTTCGAGTGGTGGACTTGGTGATAATACATTTCAAGGCCGAAGGGATGGAGTGACTGTTTAATGATGCTGTCACAGCAACAGACACACAATAATTTGTATTTAAACGCAAGCTTCTTATCACATAGCTAAAGCATTCTTCTGAGGTTTCATTCCTAAAAGGAATCTGCCATGAAAAAATGATATTAAAATCTGTTAAAAAGAAGTTGTTAAACATTGCTTTAAAAATCCTTGCATTTAATAGCTATTTTATGATCCCATTATGAAGCTGTACAGTGGCAAATAAAACTGGGTGGTTAAGGTAGGGATGGAATAGGAAGGAAGCATAGCACTTTTTCAGTTTTCAAAAGAAGGAAAGCAATGACTAGAGCTCAAGGACTGACCCTACACTTCTGTCCACTGGATTCACATTATTAAAAGGGAATTATTACAGATCACTCACTCTTACAAGTTCTACTCTAACAAGAAGTTGATGGACCATAAAATGGCACTTTTGCTATTCAGTAGACAGTCTTATGTCTACATGCTTCTTCTCTTTCCTCAAATGTATCTGTCTTCACAGTGGATTACTGAAGACATTTAGAAGAGTCCCCTTCACTGCTTTTGTATATTATTGTTAATTACATCTGATGTCACAAGCTTCGCTGAACTTGGTTGGATCATTTTGTAGGTGGAGGGCATAGATATTGCAGAAAGCAGTGTGATTCAGTGGTTCCCAACTGCTGATCCACAGACCAGTGCCGGTCTGTGAAACACTGGCTGCCAGGCCGTGCCACACTGCCAGGCCACGCCCATGGGGCTGAGGTATACCATGGCTGGTGAGTGCTGGAGCTGAAGCTGGCTGTTCGCAGCAGCTTGGGGCTGAAGCCGGCAGCTGTGCGGAGGCTCAGAGGGCTGGGGTGTATCCCAGCACCGACCCCCTGAGCTGCCACATAGCAGCCAGCTTCAGCTCCAGCGGCTGCGACATGGCGGGTGGCTGCTACAGCTGAAGTTAACTGTTCGTAGTGGCACCGTGGAAATGCTTCCTGTAGGCAATCTTGCACTTCTCTCTGAGTCAGTAATGAACCCAGCCTGCATTTTAATCTGGAGACAATTCTTATTCAATGTCTGTTCCAACATGTCATGTAATATTAATAAACGTGTTACTAAATGCACCCCTATTTTCACAACCTATCCACCATTGTAATATCCTGTATATAATATTCCTTGTAAAGTATCATGTAAAAACTAATAACTGGTCGATAAAATCAAGGTGAAATGTGAGTAGTCATATTATATGTAAAGTTATAAACATAAATTGAAATTAGATCTGAAATGTGTTTACTAGAAAAGTCTGGGTAAACCAGTGTCTCAAAGACAAAGACCAAGCTAATGCCACCAGCCAGGAGGCATCAAAATTGACGGGCAATCTCCTACCAACTGGCCATTTTTTTGGCAAGGAAGGTGGGCATAAACAAACAGATCTGCATCTTAGCAAACAGCAGCACGGACCCTCTTCACTAACAGACTCCTTGTCTCTGCCCTACAGTGGGAATGAATATTATCTAGGAGGAGCTCTCAGGAAAATGTACTTCAGATGGTATCTTAAGTATAAAAGCGAGAAGCTAAAACACTCAGGCTACGTCTACACTGCAAGTTTTTGCGACAGAAAATAAGCTAACGAGGGACTCATTAGCATAATTCATGATCTCATTAGCATATATGTTCTGTTGTTTCCTTTTGCACAAGGGGTTTTTGTGCCAAAAGAAGCAGTGTTGTCGCTTCTGTTTTGTGCAAAAACCATGTTTTACACAAGATCCTTATGCCTCTCTGGCTACACTGATTCTTTTTGCACAAAAACCCCTTACGCAAAAAGAAAATATGCTAAATGAGATCACGACTTATGCTAATGAGTCCCTCATTAGCATATTTTCTGCCACGAAAACTCTGTGTAGAAAAAGCTTCCAAGTTATCTCTCCCTATCCATCTCTCTCTCTCACTTCAGACAATAAGGGTACGTCTAGACTACATGGCTCCATCGATGGAGCCATGTAGTCTAGACGTACCCTTATTGTCTGAAGTGAGAGAGAGAGATGGATAGGGAGAGATAACTTGGAAGCTTTTTCTACACAGAGTTTTCGTGGCAGAAAATATGCTAATGAGGGACTCATTAGCATAAGTCGTGATCTCATTTAGCATATTTTCTTTTTGCGTAAGGGGTTTTTGTGCAAAAAGAATCAGTGTAGCCAGAGAGGCATAAGGATCTTGTGTAAAACATGGTTTTTGCACAAAACAGAAGCGACAACACTGCTTCTTTTGGCACAAAAACCCCTTGTGCAAAAGGAAACATTACTTAAATCGTGGCTTCATTTCTCTCTGCCGATCTGTCTAATCTACATGGCTCCATTGACGGAGCCATGTAGTTTAGACACGCCCTAAGGGTATATCTACATTGCATTCCTCCTTCGAGAGGGGAATGCAAATGCAGACAAATGAAATTGCAAATGAAGCGCAAATTTGAATTTCCCACGCTTCATTTGCATAATAGTGGCCGGCCGCTTTTCCAAAAATAGCATATTTCAAGAAAAAAAGGGGTTATTTCGAAAAAAAACCCCATCCTTCTAAATAAACCTGAAGTTATTAGGGAGTAAGGGTTATTTCAAAGGATGGGTTTCTTTTCGAAATAACCCCGTTTTTTTCTCAAAATACGCTATTTTGGAAAAGCTGCCAGTTGCCATTATGCAAATGAAGCGTGGGAAATTCAAATTTGCGCTTCATTTGCAATTTCATTTGTCTGCATTTGCATTCCCCTCTCGAAGGAGGAATGCAATGTAGACATACCCTAAAAGAAAAATAAGCAGATTCTGGTCTGGGAATTTTGGTAATGTTACTGGAAATGTATGATAAGGGACTTCACCTTGAACTAAGTCTCGTTTACGTTTTAGTACAAGGAATCTTTTTATCTTTATTTCTATTGTAACCATTTGTGACTTTAATGCCTCGTATTTGTACTTACTTAAACCCTGTTTCCTTGCAGTTAAATAAATTTGTTTTATTCTTTAATCAAAAAGCAATCCATTGTTGTGAACTGTGTGTGGAGCTCCATTTAGGATAGCAGATAGCTGTATATTTATTCCTTCAGGGTGCATCTATACTGCACCCTTAGCAAATTGCATAGCTTATTTTGAGATAATCTTGAAATAGCTTATTTTGAAATTTGGCGCTATCTACACAATGGCATGAAGTTTACAGGGACGTCGGAATAGCAAGCCCATTATATTTTGAAATAACGGGTCAAGACGTGGAAAACGCTATTTTGGAATACCAGAAGTATCCTAAAATAGTACCCCTATCTAGATGTACCCTTTCAGGGGCGATGGACCTGATATATCTGGACTGACCAGGAGAGGGCAAGATAGTACAGAGTATATTCAAGTCACCCTGCAAGTGGTAATCAAAGCTAGTGGAAGCCAGAGTGTGACTGATATGTGGCTGGCAGATGACAGCTATACACAGATACTCAGCATGCTGGAAGGCTGTTTGTGGGCAACCCAAGTGGAAGATACAGCAGCAATGCATTATGAGGCACACAGGGTTGCAGGGTAAGAGTGACACAGCCCCATGCTCATCTGGATTACACCCTAGATTGTTATAAATTGTCAAGAATCATTTTAGAGGTGGTAGAAGTGATCCCCTTATACGGTTCACTCAGGGATCTTTCAAGATGCAGGTGACAATGTAACTGTATTATTTACTTTTCAAACAAGTTGAAAGAATGGCCCTTTTAAAATTGGGATAGAGAAGCTACTAGAAGGAAAAAAAGGCACTTTGGGTATATTCTAGCAATCTACTTTTCTTACCAATACTATGTGACACCACGAGAACTGACATACCAGAACAAACCAATGATCTACCTAATCAGGTACTCTGTCTCTAGCAGTACCCAATGTCAGATGCTTGAGAGGAATGATGAGAATCCCCGATGCTGCACCTACTGGTGAATACTGTAACATTATGTGGTGGACAGAAGGGCAGAAGAATGTGTTCCTGTACCCAAATGATCCGCCCACATTTATCTTTGGTAGTATAAACAGCTGATGGATAGTCTTATTCAAACAAAAATCTAGGATAAGATACGACAGAGCTCATCTTCAGCAAGCTTCCTTACTGCTCAAGCCAATTTATATTTTATGATTTGTACATTTTTCTTTAAATCTTAAAACAAGTTACTTACCTTTTCCTTTCTATCAGATGATTCCACTGTTGTCGAATAATCAAGTTTTTTATAAATATCAATTAAAGATTTTTCCTTTAAATACACAGCCGGAAGTTTTACTGTCACATTTATGCAGCCTGGACAAGCAGTAAGATTAACTATTGGTGGACCCAAATATGCTGTTTAAAGAAAAACAAAACAAAACCCCAAAACAGAATTACATTGAATATCAATTAGATAAACCATAAAAAGCAACTCAATTCTCCATCTCAGATGATTAAGAACATAAGAACAGCCGTACTGGGTCAGACCAAAGGTCCTTCTAGCCCAGTATCCTGTCTGCCGACAGTGGCCAGCACCAGGTGCCCCAGAGAGGATGGACCGAAGACAATGATCAAGCAATTTGTCCCCTGCCAAGGACACCATTTTATCCGCTGGCTAATAGCCTTTTATGGACTTAACCTCCATGAAATTATCTAGCTTCTCTTTAAACTCTATTATAGTCCTAGCCTTCACAGCCTCCTCTGGCAAGGAGTTCCACAGGTTGACTACATGATTGACTAATTAGTTGCTCATCATACCGTTAAATTATCAAAGATTCAGCGGAAAACCATCCCTCCACTATTTTTAGAAGACGGAATAAAGTTAGAGAAAAACCTAAACCAAGCCAAAAACTACGAAGGGAGAAAAGGGATTTGGTAGGAGGTGAGAAGAGAAGGGAGTTGAGCCAAAACAGCAGCAGCCCTTGTTTCTCCAGCCCCTCAGAACTTAGTCCTTCTTTGTGAATTCTGTGCAGTGGTGAATGTAACTTAAGATTTCTTACAGGTACTGTCTTATTGCAACCCAGGTCCCTGCCAGCTCTTTAAATAGCTCCCTGTTGGCTTTTGCTGGAACTCAGCCAGCTCTTGCGGGAGCTGCGCACTAGGGCGCACCTGCTTACTTTCCTCTCTGATTTTGTGCAACTGGGACCCCTTTCTTTTGTGTGGAAGGAGAGTACGGGAGGATGGGGAAGCAGAGAACATTGTTTTCTGTGGCAGCATCTTTTAGTTAAACATGTGAAAAAAACATAAGAATGAATCCCTGAGAGTGCCCCTTCCACATGCAAATATCCCTTGGAACATCCACAAAAGGACAAGCTGTTGGCTAGGAACCACTGGCAGCAGAACTCCAAATGGGAGGTGCACTCTCGCAAGAGACTGGGAAGTGTAGGGCCTGAGGAATAGCAGCCTGAGCTTCTGTGTGAATGCTTTTTGTCTTCAAAAAAATGCCTGGAGATCCTCAGAAGGCCCATGAGTTTGAAGAGCCAATTCCCTGATTTTTAAAACTAGCAGACATTTTCTTCGCTGCACAATACAGCAGAATCTCCAAAGCCTGGAGATCAAAAGTTTTGCACTTCACTTTGATCATTCTGCAAATGCTGCGTTTTGATTTAATTAGTAACTGTCTGTGTAGTGTTTTGAAAAATCTAAAACATGCTGTTTGTAGGTGCTAATTATTTGTATTGATCATATTATAATCACACAGGTAAATTAATGTAACATTTTAAAGAGGTGGAGCGCCTGATCTTGCTCTAGACAGGAACATGCACACATGATACCATCCAAATGTTACTTATCACCCCTTCTTGTGGTTTGCCTGTTTACTTTATATGGAATAACAACAAACCTCAACCTAAGTTATCACCTGAACTTGACTTTTCCCAGGGTTTTTCACTTCAAGAGTCATCTCTGCAGGGATACAGAGGCTCCAACTCTTGCTATTTTATAGGTGAGTCAATCAGATAGTTTAGGGTAATGGATCTAAAGAAGCCCTGCATTTCTACTCAGGGTCATCTTGGTACCAGGAAAGGAAAAGAAAAGAAAGAGATAAGTTGCCCTTGAGCCTGACATTTCAGTAAACTGATAATTCTTTCTTACAACTTTACAAAACAGCAAACACAGAAGTAGCATGGGAAAAATACTAATGTACCCTCATCCCTACAAACATATTCATACATGAGGAAACAGCTGGAGAACACTGCAACAGAGAAATATTTTTATTTTTCTGATATGTATCTATAAAAAAGGCTTTTGGAATAATGTAGAATAATAAGGTGCAATTTGCCATATCTAATTTTTTTAAACAATTTCATTGTAAGGCATTTATGCTGATGGGTCAGCTTAGGGCTATGTCTACACAGCAACATTATTTCAAAATAACTAGTGTTATTTCAAAATAACTTAGGCCACATATACACAGCAAGCAGTTATTTTTAAATAATGTCAAGATACTGTCAAGCTGGAGGACTTCTTACTCTGACTCTTGTAACCCTCATTGTACAAGGAGTAAGGGAGGTTGGAGGAAGAGTGCTCTATTTCAAAATAAGTGCTGTGTAGACGCTCCCAATTTAGAAATAAGCTATTTCGAAATAAGCTACATAATTGATGTAGCTCAATTTGCGTAGCTTATTTCGAGTTAAGCCCTACTGTGTAGATGCACCCTAGGAGAAGTGCTTCATTGTTTTGAAGTTCAGGGTTCTCTGTTTCCCCAAATAAACGGATGCTGATGTTTGGACAGAAGAGGGCAGGAACAAGGGCACATGTATGTGGGAAGCTATACAAGTTGTAATAAGGGCTACACTATTTCCTGAAGGCCTGAAAATTTGAGAAGCAAAATAGCACAACCACTATATTTAAAATTAATGGACTAACTTTCCATTCATGAAAAAGTTACCCTTGCTTGTTAGCATTACAATTACATTATGTCAGAGTGCTTGAGCTGAGCTGATACTATTTCTGTAACTTTGAACCAAACATTAGGTACAGTAATAATGATCCTTATTTCAGAAGAGGAAAAAATGAAATTAATATGGAGATGTTATTAATAGGACTCTAGGGAGAAGCAGCCTCTAGCAGTATTAGACCATCATTGCTAATGAGAATCTGGTGTTTTTGTGAGACATAGCAAAAGAGGTGGAAGAGAAATCTAGGTGATGGCTAGAATGGAAGCAGATATTCCTCTACCCCTCATCTTTTGTTTGTGTCTGTTGAACAGTTAATGAATGAACTATAATCTAAAAATATAGATTATGCAATTTATAAACATTTTTTAAAATGCAACTCAATGCCAAAATGATCCTACTACCATTTTAAAAATCTGCAATAAATACACATAATAGAAACTTACTCTTATATGTGAAGGAAACCTATTTCAACATTTGCTTTTTCCTTCAAAATTGATGCTTGTTTCTATTCATAAGAACTATTCAAGCCATATATTTTGTACAGATATCTTTCTACTGGTTATAAAATATTACATATATGCTAGATGATATGTTAGTTAGCTCACAACATCTTACATAAACTAGTGTATCACCAACTACATTACTTTGGAGTTACAGCACCATTAGTAAAACACTGGTTGGCTGTGTCTAGACTGGCCAGTTTTTCCGGAAAATCAGCCGCTTTTCCGGAAAAACTTGCCAGCTGTCTACACTGGCCGCTGGAATTTCCGCAAAACCACTGACTTCCTAATGTAAGAAATCAGTGCTTTTTGCATAAATACTATACTGCTCCCATTTGGGCAAAAGTCCCATTTGCGCAAAACTTCTGCGCAAAAGGGCCAGGGTAGACAACTGAGATTTATTTTCCGCAAAAAAGCCCCGATAGCCATTTTTCGCAAAAGCACGTCTAGACTGGCCATGGACGCTTTTCCGCAAAAAGTGCTTTTGCAGAAAAGCGTCTGTGCCAATCTAGATGCTCTGTTCCGAAAATGCTTTTAACAGAAAACTTTTCCGTTAAAAGCATTTGCGGAAAATCATGCCAGTCTAGACGTAGCCGTTATGTATAGCTGAGAATAAATACAATAAAATGAACAAAGATAAAATAGATCAGTAAGAGAACTTACTGGCCCTATATGGACTGAAGTCAGGGCTAGATAAATTAAATACTCCATGTTCTGTGAAGCTCTTCAGAAGTGCTATGTAGGAATTTTCATAGTCGTCATACTCCTTTGTCAGGTTACAGAATAGGCGTGTGGTGTTTGAACATTCTTCAGCATCTTTCCATTCCTTTTTTGAGCTAGTTTAAGTTAAAAGAAAGAAAAATTAAGTGTTGTTCAAAAAGATCATCTGATTTGTGACAGTATCTCTGGTTTGTAACATGAAAACTCACAGATGCACTGAAGTGATCTCTGCTCTCAACTTAAACAATGTCAAAAATGATTTAACGTCCCCCCCAAAGACTAGTAAAATTCAAATGGTTTATTTATCGTGTAGCTGCATGGGGAATGCTGGAGAGGCACCTTTTTGATAAAAAAAAATTGAAACCCCACCCCAAAAATCTTAAACCACAAATAAATCAGAATGACTAAGGGCTATAACAAAAATTATATACAAGAAGTGTCAGTCATAAGGTTTGCGTTGGAATTCCCACTAACCTCAGCAACATAAAATAAACTTTTACTTGCTTTTCTTCTCAAAAGGCTATGCCGATCCAGTCACTCGAGTAAGGTTAATCTCATTTATTGCTCCTTTCCTGGTCCATATACTTTCTGTACATATATACACACACTAACTTCTCAACAAAACCCTACTCAAAACCAAAATCAAAACACCACCACAACAAAATCCTGAAATTAACTTGATGTTTGCAGCCCCTCACATTGTTCTCCCTTTTCATATGTTATACTCTATTTCTCCTAAAAACTTTCTCTGTTTAAAATGTAAGCTCATTGGGGGCAATGACTCTATTATTATGTGTTTCATAATAGAGTTTCAATCTGAGATGGGTGCTTACATACTACTGTATTACAAATAATAAAGAGAATGGAGAAGAATTCTCTCTTTACTTAAAGGTGACCTGCAAGCATTATTTAAAAAATAGTTTTACCCTGAAAATTGTTTGCATATCTAGAGACAGCCTGAGACACAATAGCTTTTGGCATATAACATTGAGTACCCAGATGGGATCCAGTTCAGGTTCCTCCTCCCATGTCTAAGGCCCTACCAAATTCATGGCCATGAAAAATGCATTGTGGACCATGAAATCTGTTCTCCATCCATAAAATCTGGTCTTTTGTCTGCTTTTACCCTATACTATACAGATTTCATTGGGGGAAGACCAGCATTTCTCAAATTGGGGATCCCTGACCCAAAAGGGAGTTAGAAGGAATGTCATGATGTTATTTTTTGGGTCATGGGGAAATTGTGGTATTGGCACCCTTACTTCTGTGCTGCTTCCAGAGCTTAGTGGCCAGAGAGCAGCAACTGTTGTCCAAGTGCCCATTTCTGAAGGCAGCACCTGCCCAGGAGCAGCACAGAAGGATGGTAGTACCACGTCATCCTTACTTTTGTGCTGCTGCCTTCAGAGTTGAGCACCTGGAGAGTATCAGCTGCTGATTGAGGGTTCAGCTTTGCAGGCAGCAGCACAGAAATAAGGGTAGCAATATCATACCATCCTTCTGCTTTGCTGCTGGTAGAGTCTCTGCTTTCAGAGCTGGGCAACTGGATACCAGTGTCTACTGGCTCCTGGCTCCACTGCTCTCCATCTGCCCAGCTCTGCAGGCAGAACCACTGCCAGTAACAGTGCAGAAGTAAGGGTAGCAATACCAACCCTTCTGTACAGTAACCTTGCAAACCTACCACAATGCCTTTTTTACTCAGGACTCTTACAATTACAATACCATGACATTTCAGTTTTAAACAGTTGAAATAATGAAAGTTACAATTGTTAAAATCCTATGACTGTGAAATTCACCAAAATGATCTGTGAATTTGGTAGGGCCCTACTTATACCTTTGGGTACGTCTAGACTACATGCCTCTGTCGCCAGAGGCATGTAGATTAGGCTACCAGGCATAGGAAAATGAAGTGGCGATTTAAATAATTGCCGGTTCATTTAAATTTACATGGCTGCCGCGCTGAGCCGATCAGCTGTTTATCGTCTCAGCGCGGTAGTCTGGACGCGCGGGTGTCGACATCAAAGGCATTTGTCGACATCAAAGGCATTTGTCAACCACCCAGGTATGCCACCCTTTGTTTGGTGTTGTTATAAGACTGGTGTCCCAGATTATGTGAGGCACTCAGTATATATGTTATCACTAGTTTGCAAAATATTTGCTTTATAGCTCAGGGTGCTCTGCATACATGCAAATATATACATGCAAATACCAAATATAATATGGCCCAGTACCAGACAGCCAGTCCATCACGCTCCCAGAGGAATCTGGCCAAATCTCTCAGTTACGGTACAGTACTTTGCCCCAATGAAAGAAGAGCAACAGAAAGTAACAGAAATTATCAACATAAGTTGAAGTTGTCATTCTTTTGATAAATACAGGTTTCTTCAATGTATAGTTTTGCTCTAGGAATTAATGTGCTTGTTTAAAATTGTTCTAATAACTATTCATATCCTAAAACCTAATTCTTTCCCTTTTATCTAATGAATGGTAAATTTCAGAAAATCTATTTGGAAAACAAAACAGTCAATAGAATATGTTGACTAGTAAGTAAGAAAAAGTACAAATTTATGTACAGTATGAAAGGAAACAAACCTTAAAGCTATGTACTGCACATGATAGTATGTTGGCACAGTTGTATTATTTCCTGCTTCCCATGATAAAATGTGCTGGAAGTTCTGAGAGTTCATTGTTAACTTCTGAGGGGAATTTATCAAAGATGTTTCTAAATTAAAAGAAAAAGTTGCTAAGATTAAGAAGCACTCAAAAAGGAAAGCAAATGGAACACAGTTATACATAGTGGCTACGTCTACACTGCAGGCTTCTTGAGCAAGAACAGCCATTCTTGCGCAAAAACTTGAAGAGCATCTACACTGCACATGTGTTCTTGCACAAATAAATTTACAGTAAAGCGTGGGAACAGAGGGCTTATTCTCCCGAGGAATAAGCTCTTGTGCAAGAGCTCTTGCGCAAGAAGGCAGTATGGATGGGCAAAAGGGCTTTCTTGCGCAAGAAACCCCTATGGCTAAAATGGCCATCAGCACTTTCTTGGGCAAAAGAGTGTCCACACTTCCATGGACACTCTTGCGCAAAAGCACATGTGTTGTGCAAAACCACATGGCAGTGTGGATGCGCTCTTGTGCAAGACCTTTTGCGCAAGTACTCTTGCGCAAAACCGTTCTTGTGCGAGAAGCCTGCAGTGTAGATGTTGAGTAGACATACTGGCTACAATCAGTTAAATATCAGTCAAAAAGATTTTTAAAAAAAGTACACGATTGAAGATGAAGTCATTCTAAGTTGCATATTCATTGCACTGGAGGCACAAATGCATGGGGACTGTCCTGCCAGATATAATCAATATAGCTTTCTTAGAGCATGACTATACTAGAGAGTAATTTTGAAGTAACTCCCCTTATTTTGAAATAACAAGCAGAGTGTCCACACTACCCAACCCATTATTTCAAAATGAGGGGCTAGTTATTTTTAAATAATAACTCCTGCTTTACTTGGGGAATAAGCTTATTTCAAAATAGTTATTTTGGGAGTTATTATTTCTAAATAATTTCCCAGTGTAGACATGCCCTTATTCTTGAATGGAAATGCACAGCGAAGCCAAAAATTATGCTGGATGCAAGTATACACATCTTTTGAGCTATTTCAGGGATTTTGCTTAAAATACCATAAAAATTCTTACCTGCCAAACTGTACAAAGTTGTGGTAAAAATGCTGAGGTACACTGGAAATGAAAACACGTGTACATATATTTATTCATTAGATAAATGGTACATGTGTATTCTACAGTATTTGTCACAGATAATAAATGTATCCTCCCAGTATTTTTGAGAACTAAAGCAAACAGAGATTAAACAATTTGATCAAGATCACACAGTAAAGCTATGGTGGTGCCAGGGTTGCCAACCCACAGAAATTTCATTTACGGACAAAATGGGAAAAATTTACGGACAGACACATTTTTTTACAGACATAATTTTTATACTATATTAAGATGACATAAATGGCCAAAAGTGAAAAGTAATCGTCATTCATACATCAATATGCTAATGCCAACTCAGCGGGATAATGTAGATAATAATATCACGTGGATCACGTGATTCACGTTACGTTACCTCAACCATTGAGCTAAATAAACAACTAAAATGTCCAATTTCCACTGCTCCACAGTAAAATGGCTGAAGCAGCACAGAAGAAATTTAATTGCTATAGAATAATTGCTGTTTTTTGAAATTTTTATTGCACTGCTACGAAATTTACGGACACCTACATTTTTTTACGGACATGTCCTATTTCGGCTAATTTTTTATGGACTGTCCGTAAATTTACTGACGGTTGGCAACCCTGGGTGGTGCCCAACAAAAACCTTTTCTCTTAAGTTCCAGTCTGTGACTTAACTACAAGACATTGTTCCTGTCATACCCCCTGTTTGCCCTATGAGTACACAACATACAGTCATGGTAGAATTGTGATGAAAAAGAGTAGATTATCAGCTATTTTAGAAAAGTTTAGTCAAGTGGGATGAACAGTAAAACATTGTTTTATAAATAAATAATTCCTATAAATTTTATAATATAGAGAGTAACATATTAATTGTGATTTAAGATTTTTGGGGCTGGAACTATATCTTCAAATACATGTGTACAGCAGACAGTACATTTTTAGTGCTTCCACTACACAAATAAGATAATATTACAAGTGCCTTGATTATGATACTGATCCAGCTTCCAATGAAATAAATAGAAAGTTTTCAAGTGACTACAGTGGGAGTTGGATCAGGCTCTACTACCTCTGTAAGAAGATAACTTATATTCAACAATACTGTGTATCTTTAATTTTAAAACTAGAAACTAATAATACACTATAAAATGTATCAATTTTGTAAGAAGGTTTAGTCTCTGTCTTCAACAGTTAATATTTTTTTTAAAACTTTGGCAAGCAAAATGGATGAAATTCCTATTCCAGAGCATTCAGACCTCCCTTAACAACTGAGTTTCCTTATGTCTACAGAAACTTGGCAGTCCTTAACATTGCATCATATCTGTCAGCAATATAAGATTCTGAGAATGTCAATCTGTGTGTCATTATGAAATCTAAAATGTCTGCTGAGCTTGTGTGAAGTGATGAATGCAGCCACAAAAATAGTTGAGGACTCTTTCTTGCTCAGAGTAACACCAGGCTTAACTTGACTGGGTTTTGCAGTCTATTACCATCCAATTATTACATTCTAAGCTATTCTGAATTTACAAATTATACCTATGTGGTGTGCAGACACAGTAAATTACACTTGTGCTGTTACCTGTATTCTACAGCTAATTTGCATGCAGCAATTTCATTAGTTCTATGAGGGAGACTGCATCATTTGTGGATTATTTGACCCACCTGTCATACCTGTGCACCATCTGCCACCCACAGACGTCAATACAAATCTCCCAGCACAGTCCCACACACACCAATCAACACACTCACTCATACAACAAGGATACATAATAATGCCAAACACACAGACTCCCCTCACTACAGCACGCACTCCTCATTCACCACATGCACAAATTCACACCCATATTCCCAAACAATACCTCCCCAGACACAACAACACAAGCAGAACACACACTGACATCAGATATCACTCAGAAGCTTAGAACATCTGTTGAGTTTGTGTGAAATAATCAAAACAGCTCCAAGCACAAAGAAGCTAAATCTCAATATAGATTAGAGGAGGAGAAATGAAAATGCAAAGGGATATGATCTGCAAGATAAATGGGGAATCTTCAGAGTGAATAAATTCACTGCTTATGCTATTGCTTTTTCTACAGAGTTAAATGCACTTTAGCACTTTCCGGTTAAAATTGAAGACGAGCCAGGTTTTTTTTAGTTGTGTATGTTAGTATATTAACCCTGCTAAATTCCAACTATTTAAAATCATACAGCAATAGCATACAAAATTTAGGACAGGAAATGAAAAATCATCTATCCATCTGAAAGCACAGGGGGAATTTAGAGATACACGGTACAACAAGTTGTTCCAGAACTCTACTATTCTTATCAAAATGCCATGGAATCTTTAACGATCACTACAGGTTGAATCTCTCTAGTCCAGCACTCTGTCATCCGGAATGATTTCAGTTAGCCAGTATCCACTTATCATGGGTACGGCCAAGTTTCCCGTTGTACCATAAAGTTTGTTTACAGCCACCAGTCCTGGCTCTTAGAGTTCTGTGTTGTTATTTAGCTCTAATTTACCCGCAAGTCCACGACTTCACTTATCAGAAGTTTGAAGCTTTGGAGATCTATCTTCCAGCATTCAATTTAGTGGATCTTGAATAGACCTGCTAACTTAAATGCTGAGGGTGTCCCCAACAGTGCTGGTACTCCTCACTATTGCGAGGAGAAAGGGAACTCAATGGGAAGCTCAGCTTAAGGTGTGGCGACTCCAGCTACGTTTTTTACATAACTGGAATTGCATATGTTAGGCTTTCCCCCTTAGTGTGGACCTGGCCTAAGAGCTCATTAAGCAGCGGAAATGTTGGTAATGCTCTAGCCAATATTGTCCTTCGATCAGCAAATTCTCTGGTTCGGCACCAGTCAGGTCCCTGGTGCTGAGAAGTTCAATCTCTAGAGGTCTGGATCTTGCTTTTGTGTCTTTATTCAAAAAACACCACTTCTAACACTATAGGTCTGATAATAGCATGATAGTGCATTAGTTCAGTAATTACTCAAAAGGAAGAGTGTTACTCAGTGAATGATCATTACTGCTATTTCTTTGCAGGGTATAAACAATTAAGCAACTTACCAAACTGACAAAAACACAGTGGTCCAATTAATACTGCCATAATGATTTAGAAGAACATCCTGATTGTGAAGTAATCATTTTAGTTCTGGGTCTGTAATTATACCAAGTAAAATCAACCTTAGTAAATTAAATTACTGGATGATTGACATAAAGGCAAAACAAGTCTTCCACAGTAAGAACTGATATTACACCTTTAATGCCATGTGAGAAATAGAAAGAAATAGTATATTTAATGATGAGATACATAGTGTTATCGTAGCTTGTCATTATCAAATGAGTTTTTGGATTTAAAAGACACTTCTGCAATAAAGAAAAAATGCATTACACTAGAAAAATGTTTGTAGTGTTTCAGATAAATATAGGCAAACTTTTTAAAAGTGTGTTTAGAGTTTATATTGCAATGATGTGACAGACTGACAATATCCTGCATAACATCAATGAACTTTATCAAATTAAATTTTATACCTTCAAGATCCACTCTATTAAAAATGCAATTATATCTGTGCAGATATATAAGTGGGATGGTGTGGCACACACCAGTAAAAACCAGCCCCTGTACTGGCCCCCACACAGTTTTTTGCCACAGTGTTGCTTTGCTGCCCTTTTTGCCCCAGTCAAAAGGAGCGGTAATGTTAAAGCACTGCCATGGCATTGCTGTCTGACCCTACTGACAAGGTGATTGCAAAAGGGGCAGCTATTCTAGAGCCTGGTGATTTAAAAGGGCCCAGGGCTCCTGGCCACTGCAACAGTTGCCAACTGCAGCCCTGGATCTCCCGGACTCCAGCCATGAAGGATTTGCTGCTGGGGGGTCTGCTTCCAGTTCCACCTTGTTTGCCTGAGGCCCCATCCCTTCCAGGAGCCCAGAATTGCTCTCCCACCTTCCCAGGAGCATAGGTCCAGTTTAGGACACAGTGATAAATTCTGAACTCTACTTTCATCTCTGTGTCTGTGTTATTGTGGACCTGGATCTACATACCTTCTCTTGGAGACTGACCAATCTCTGGAAGCTTTCACAAATTTCAAAAGACTTTTTGGAACAATACCTTTAAACTAGATATCCAAGGAAGTACTGTAACTGGGGAATGCAAATGATCTACTTGCAATCCTCTGTTTTCTGATTATACCATGAGGCGAGAAGCCCAGTGACTACTAATTCCAAAAGTTGCCAGTAATGAGGTTCTGGAACTAGTCACTATACTGGGATTGAAGCCATGCTTACTAGGGATGTAATAGTGTGGTCAATTAACTGCCTAACCGATAAGCAAAAGCTTACAGGTTAATGCTATAGACCAGTGTTTCTGAAAGTGCTCCACAAAACCACTTTGGGAAACACATTAACTGGCCGTCCCAGTTTGTTTATTTATTGGCACCGCGGCTACGGAGTCTCTCAGCTCCCATTGGCTCCATTTCGTCCTTTGCAGTCAAGGGGAGCTGCAGGAAGCAGTGAGGGCTGGGCCACTGCCTCCCGCTGCTCTGTTTGGCTGCAAAGAGCGAAACAGAGCTAATGGGAGCTGCGAGGCTCCGTGGCCACGGCGCCAATAAATAAACAAACTGAGGAAGCAAGTTAATGTGTTTCCCAATGTGGTTTTGCGGAAGATTTTCAGAAACACTGCTCTAGACTACCCACATTTGACCCTTCCCACCACCCACTCTTTCTAGTGATGTAGATGGGTCAGCCTCACTTTTTAGTGAGATGAGACCTTAGGCTCCACTGGGAAAGAACTGGAGAGGGGAGGGGGGAGGGAATTACTGTTTGAGCGCCCTACTTCAGAATTCAAACTCAACTATGAATTTCTGGGGTTTCTAATAGCAGCAGTTTTTAACTTTAACAATCTTGAACGGCAATACATGTTGAAAACATTGATATGTGTCTACACTATTTCAGGCCAAACAGAAACAAACAGAAGCTGGATAGCTGGACCATAAGTTAAGTGAAAAGTACCATCCTCACCCTTTTAATTAACTGCTCTCACTTAAAGATGTCACAAAGGCACAGAGATTTGCCTGTTGCAGACCTCCTGAAAAGTTCCATTCCTGTAAACCCCTTCAGGCCCTAAGGATCAGTACTTGGATAGGATAGGGGCTCCAATTGTTCTAATGCCGTGGTCACCAACCCATCAATCGCGATCAACTGGTCGATCGCGAGGCCTCGACCAGTCGATCGCGAGGTGTTCGGGCACCCCCATCCCCCATTTCCCCCCACCCCCGAGAAGCCCCACTGCCTACCTCTAGTGTACTGCCGGCTTCCCGCGGGTGGACGGAAGTCCTGTCTGAAGCCTGCGTCACTTCCAGGAGTTCCAGAAGTGCGCGGGCTGCTCCCCTCCCACAGCTCTGTTGCGTGCTGGGGGAAGGGGGCGTCAGCCCCAGAGGAGGAGTACGGAGGCTTCCATGCGCTGCCAGCGCCGGAGGGGTGAGTTGAGCGCAGGGGTTTCCCTGCGCCGTGGGAGCGGGGGTCAGCCCCGGGGTTTGGCTGAGCTGAGCCGTGCCGTGGGAGGGGGGTTTGGCCCCAGGGCAGGCCCCCGCAGGGGTT